GGCTGCAGGGCAGGGGGAACAGAGCCCCAGGCTGGTTCATAAACACACACAGAGCGCCCCACATTGCAGTCGTTGCTGAGCTGGGTACTGAGGGTCTAACACCACAGGGAGCCATTCTGAGCTCCGGATTACGGATGAGGAAACTGGAGCCCAGAGAGGGGCAGGGGTGTGGCGGGGGTCTCATGGGGATTTGGAGGGACTCCTAGGCTGCGCCTCTAGCCGGATGGGGGCTGTCTCAGTTTGGGGGGCACCTGCGGTCTTGGCAGCAGACTCCTACTTACAGGTGGCAGAGCCAATGCTCGGAAGGGTCCCAGAGTCAGCAGATCAGCAGATGAGCTGGTCTGGGACCGTTGTGCATGGTCCCAGTGCGTGGGCTTGTGTCCACGCACCCACTGGACCTCAGTTTCTTCATCTGTAAAATGGGGGTGAAACACCCTGGCCCTGCCATCCCGTTGGGCACTGGATGCTTGAAAAGCTCCTAGCACCACAGCCTCAGGAGAGGCCCAGCCCGAGGGGTCTGGAACCCAGGTGGATAAGGTGAGGACCAGGAGGGAAGAGCCGTGAATGTCTCCTCCTCCGTGAAGTCCTCCCGGATGCCCCTACGTGGCTGGTCCCACATGGTGTGGTGGGGTCTCTGATCTCCCACCTGCCCAGCTGTGCCCCCAGGCTGCAGACTCCCCAGGGCCTGCAGAGAAGATGCTTCAGTGCAAAGCACAGAGCGTCAACATCATCTGAAGAACCAGGACAATGGGGGTGGGTAGGTGGGTGGGTGGGGAGTCCCTGAGGGATCAGCGAGGGGCCACCAGGCATCCAGTCCGGAGGGCACAGCTAAGCCATGTGGTCTGTCCTGCAGTGGGGTAGGTGCTGGCCCCGGGACAGCTGGGCAGAGAGGGAGGGACCCGCAAGGAGGACAGTCAGGGCTGCTCCTGGGCAGACTGGCCGGGCAGTGGACCTGCTGAGACCAAGACACAGAAGAGAACAGGACACCCCCGGTGCAGTTGTCGGGAAGCTCTGTGCCTTCCTCCCGCCAGTGGAGGCCCCGAGGGGCAGGTGGTCAAGTGCAAACGGCGGGGCTAGGGTGGTGGGTAAGCCAGGGAGACAGCAGGGGCCCAGGCCCGGTAGCAGGGGAAGGCGGGGGCCATTTCCCCAGTCCCCCCACCGTGCCCCCTTCCTGCACCTGGGGGCGCCCTTCTGTTTGCTGACACTCAGCTGACTGGTCCCTGACCTCCCTGGCCCACAGCTGTCCTGGCTGCTGTCCAGGGGTCAGGGGTTGAGGGTGGCCTTGGCCCTGGGGTCAGGCAGGTCCGGGTGGGGCATTCCAGCTCCTTTTTTAAGGTGGCATGGGGTAGCCTTGGATTGGTCCCATTGCATCGCTCAGCCTCAGTTTTCTCCTCTGTGAATTGGGAACAGAGACCCCTCGGGCATGGGGTCGGCCCCAGTGTGTGGGAGGATGCGAGGGGTGACTGGTCCTATGGGGGTCTTCACCTCATTCAAGGGTCCCCCTCACACCTGCCTCCTGAGCTCCCCTGTCCGGGGCTGGGGGAGGGCTGCGTCCGGGGGTGGGGGCACTGAGAGCCTCCCGAGGGGCTGAAGAATGGGAGGCGGTGAGGGCAGAGGGAGGAGTGTGAAGAGGCAGGGTGTGGGCAAAAGTGTGGGGTGTAAACCAGGACGTGAGGGTGGGACAGCCATCTCACAGGGCCGCCACCTCTGCTCAGGCATCAGAGGCCTCCAGGAAGCCGGGGCGGGCGCCCAGGGACATTTCCTGCTATTAATGGAGCTTAATCTAAACAGGCCCTAATATTTACCTCCAGGCGCCTCCGGCCTCCGAGGGTGCCGTACAGCGAGAGTGACGAGCCCCACCCGGGCAATGCCCTTCTTACCCCGTGCTTCCCAGGCCGTGTGTGAGGCAGGAACTGGGGCCTGGGGGCTCAGGTTTGAGGCCCCTGCCGGATGCCCAGAGCCTCAGTTTCCCTGTCTGGGCGATGGGGTGACAGCCCAGGCTCACGGGGAAGTTCAGAAGGTGGACAGCTCAGCAGCTCTTGCCTTGTAAGCCCGCGCTGTAGCGGAGCCGTAGCCCCTCCCTCCAGATCATACCTGGGGGTGATCTGACTGGATGCTGCGGGCAGTCTGGCTGCCCTGCCCACGTCTATGTTCTCTCCCTGGGCAGGCGGAGTTGGGACCAGGCTGGGGCGACGACCCGTCACTCTGCTGGTCTGTGCCCCTAACCAGCTACTGTGCCCACCCACGGCCCACACCTTACCACCTGCATCCCCTCCAACCCTCGCCCTTCAGAAGCCCCTGTGCCTGCCCCCAGCAGTGATGGCAAAACCATGACCCCACCACTACAGACTTTCCCGTGGAGCCCACTGTCCCCAACCACAGGATGGTGAGCGAAGTTGGGGGGACGAGGGGGCCCCCACCTGGCTCAGTGTCCCACGGCAACCCCTGCCCACCAGCCAGGGCGCTGAGTCAAGGGCAGGAAGGGAATAAACAGTTTTAATTCAGGACGAGGATTCCTCGTTAAGGAGAATGTTTACATCAGATATAAATACACAAGCCACCTCACGTCACTTGGGCTTTTCAAAAATCTGGGAAGGGAGGCCATGTGGAGGGGACTGCAGAAACTTTGTACTCTGGCCCCTGTGGGAAAAAGGACAGTCCCAGTCTGGCCTCTGGAGGCTCCTGGGCCCATGTCCCCATGGAGGGAGTGGGGAGGAGCCAGCCGTCAGGAGGAGGAAGCAAGTGTCTGAGGAAGTTGTGGGGTCACGTGCGGTGAATCTCTTGCCCTCAGCCCCCTGTCCACCGGCTGCAAGGCTACAGAGAGGAGGGAGAGGAGTAGAGAGTGGGGAAAACTGAGGTCCACTTAGCGAGGGCTCTGCAAGGGGGCCATCAGACAGCTCTGGGGGGTGACGGAAGGCTCCCTTGGGACCTGGCACCCTTTATCCCCACGGCTCTTCCAGTCCCTGAGGAACCCAGGCTGGATGTGGGATTTCACATGTGGGATGAGGGGAGGGGGCTTGGCCACCCTGGATCTGGATCCCAGCTCTGCGCTGGGCTCTTACTTCCATGAATGGTGGGGACTAACGAGACACTGGGTGTGAAGCAGGGCCAGACAGACCTGGGACCCAGCAGGCGCCCAGTCAATGTGTGCCGAGACCCACGCTGGCCCACCTTAGAGACCGGCCTCCTCCTTGAGGGAGGGATTGTTCCAGAAGCACTGCAACCCCTCCACCCCCAAGCACAGCCGTCAGCTCAAGTCAGCCACTCACTCTTTAGTATAAATTAGAGTGAGAACCTGGGATAGAATCAGGGCTGCTGACCCTGGAGGAAAGCCCACAGGTGGTGCTGGGCTGGGACAAACACCTCACACTAACTTTCCCTCCTCTGCTGTGTGACTGCCCAGGTGCCGGCTTGCAGGCCGGGGAGAGACAAAGCTCTGGCAGAGCCTCCCCGCCTGAAAACCCACCATAAGTGCCACTCCCTGGGGTCAGCATTGCTGTCGCCGTGGGCTTCTTGGCACAGACAACCCACTCCCGCACGCTCCTTTCCCGAGAGCCAGGCTCCTCCTCTGTTCCATGGAGCTCTGGGCCCCTCTCTGAGCTGGGAGGTGGGGGGAGGCTGCATACTGTGCCCGGCACCCAGTCAAGGCCAAGGATGGTGGTCCTGATGCTGACAACCACGCCCCTGGCTTCTTGAGCACCCGGGCCCAGGAGGCAACCCTGGGTCCAGCTCCCCCACCACGTCACTGAGCAGGGCTTGGCCTCCCCCGGGCTCCAGCATCTCCCACCTTGGCCACCCCACAAGGTCCTAGGGCCAAAGGAGCCACCCCCACTGGGCTCCAGCAGACAGTACTGGCCTTGCAGTACCTGGGTACTCTACGACCCTGGCAAGCTCCTTTCCCTCTTTGAGCCTCAGTTTCCTCGTCTGTAATATGGGGATATAAATGGCCTTTCTGCCTCGCATCCAGGCCTTGCACTAGGGCCCTGAACTCGGGGCCAGGATACTCTGCCTGGAGCCGCCGAGCACGTAGGACTATCTTGTTTTCTTCGGCTGCACCGTGTGGCACGTGGGATCTTAGTTTCCTGACCAGGGATCGAGCTCATGTCCCCTGCGGAGTCTTGACCACTGGACCACCAGGGAAGTCCCACGTAGGACATTTCTCTGCAGACAAAGGGCAAACCTGGGGCCCAGATTCCATCTCACCAGTTTCAGTGGTGGTGGCCACGTGAGAGGGTGGAGCCTGGTGGCTAGAGGTGCCTGGGACGCCCAGAGCTCCTCTCTCACAACAGGCCCCCCCCACACAGCAGTCTAGAGAGGGCTCATGGGAGCTTGCACATTCGACGAGAAGGCATGCAGAGGCTATCCTGGAGTCCAGCTCAGAGGAGGCAACCAGAGGCCCAAGCCAGAGAAATGATCCCTCCCCAGGAAAGGCAGGGAAGCGTGACGAGCCAGGTGAGAGGGAGAATGAAGGGTTCTGAGTGTGGGGAGACGGTGGCCTTAGGCCAGCAGGCCTGGGTTCCAGTCTCTGTGTCTTTGCCCTTGGTTTCTCATCCATAGGATGGGCTGTGAGCCTACTGCCCTCCTGGGCCAGCAGGCAGGGTCTTTCAAGATGGTTCCTAAAGTGGAGGGCTTTGGGAAGATCTGAGTGGTCTCCACGGGGCAGGCAAGGGGATGTTGGAGGAGGTGGGGCTGAGCTGTGATTGGCCATCTCCCACTCATGGCACCTGTATGTGCCACTCAGCCTCCCCCTCATGGCTGGTGGGTGGAAAACAGTCTCCCCTTTGTAGGGTAGTTTCTGGTTTGAGTGTCAGCCCAGGTAGCACAGTGCTCACAGCAAAGCACCCCACGGTGTCAGGCTGTCTTCCTGTGTGATTTATGGATGCCTCAAATGGAGGCCCTGCAGACGTGAACGCTTCACGTCCGCTCACATAACATTTGTGTCCTCTAACACTTCCTTTCTGTTCCTGTTCTTCTCTCTTTGTGGGGGAGGGAGAAAAAGGGGGAGGGGTGGGGAGGGAACCCCTTCAGGTTATCTTTTTAACCCTCTTTGAAATTCCCAGTATCTAAAACATCTTTGTCCATGTTTCTCAGGGACCCCTTCTAGAGGTTGAATGGTCCAAGTGAGAAGCAGCTCCTGGCTACCCCTCTGAGTTTTCAATGGACACAATATTTACCTTAGGGATGGCAAATTATCAGCATTCAGATCACCACATCCTATCTAGAGCCCATGGCAGACATTGCTAATCAATCACAGCACAGTGGCCTTAGACACTTCCTCCACGCAGTGCACTGGGCAGCCATCACCAATTGATCAGAACCCAATTTGCCATCCGAGTAGAGCAGATATCTGTGCTGTCCCCGACCTGGCGTGTCCAGTCCAGCCCTGACCTTTGGCCCCCTTGCAAAGTCCTACCAACTAAGCCTCAGGCCCGTTAGCCAGGGCCTGCGTGAGGGCTCGAGGTCTGGCGCCGAGGATGTGACGGTGAGCCGAGTTCTTGGAGCTCTTGCGCGTGCTGACCACATTGCAGCTGTTGGGCTCGCACCCCGCTCCATGCTGGTGGAAGAGGCCACGGACGGTGGTCTGGAAGCTGCTGGTGACGAAGCAGTAGACGATGGGGTCCATGCAGCTGTTGAGGCTGCTGAGGGTCACTGCCACATGATAGACCACGAGGCTGGTGTGGTGCGGCACGTCGGGCCACAGCGCCACAGCCACCTGGCGGGCGTGGAAGGGCGTGAAGCAGACGAGGAAGATGACGAGCACGGTGAGCAGCAGCTGCATGGCCCGCATGCGGCGCTGGCGGCCCTGGCGCAGCAGGCCCGGCCGTGACAGTGCACACATGATGCGGCCGGTGAATATGCTAATGACCAGCAGTGGCAGCAGGAACTCCAGGACGGTCAGTGCAAAGACGCGGCAGCAGGGCCCGCCGGTGGCCGTCACGCCCAGCACGGACAGGGTCACGGCGCCGGCGGCCAGCCACACGAAGGCGCACACGGCTCTGGCGCAGGCAGGCTGGCGCCAGCGGCGGCCACCGTCGGGCTGCACGATGGCCAGGTAGCGGTCCACGCAGATGCAGGTGAGGAAGAGGATGGAGCAGTGCATGTTGAGGAAGTAGCCAAAGACGTGCGGGAGGGCGCAGCGCAGGCAGCCGCGGGTGCCGTAGAAGACAGCAAAGCGCGTGGGCAGGGACAGGCCCACCAGCAGGTCAGTCACCACCAGGTTGATGGTGTAGATGACCGACGGCGTCCTGGCCTGGGTGCGGCAGCCGAAGACGTACAGCGCCAGCCCGTTGAGCACCAGCCCCACCAGGAAGATGACGCCATGCACGGCCATCAGCGCCAGCCACAGGCCCGGGAAGGCGGCGTGCAGCTCCCCGTCCAGCACAGCAAACAGGTGGAACAGGGGCATCTCCGGCATGCTGACATTGGTCCACGCTGCCGCTGCCGCTGTGGCATTGGGGGCAGCCACGGCCGAGGGCCCTGCGGAAGACGCGGAGGGCATGACAGCGGCCAGCGCACGCCCGGGGCCTGGAAGGAAGGAGACCGGGTTACCCTGGGGTTATTGGAGCCCTGCCCCGAGGCTGGACCTCACCTGGCTCGTCTGCCCACCCAGCACCCCAACATTCCCACCTTTGTGCCTCTGCCTGGCCTGGCCCTGGCACTTGCCAGCGTGCAGCTCCAGCAGAATGCCAGTGCTGTGCACCTGCTGCTTGCTGTAATGGGAGGCGAAAAGCCTCGCAAGACTGTCACCGGGACTGAAAGATGACAAAGGCGACTGGTGTGGCACAGGTAAGATGACGGGCCAAGTGTGTGGTGTTTGAGCCTGGGCTCCAATTCCAGTTGCTTCCTCGCTCGCTGTGCAACCTCAGGCAAGTCGCTTAACCTCTCTGTGCCTCACGTCCTAATCTAGATCATTGGGACTACAGAGCTGCTGGGAGGATTAACTGAGCACAGCAGTGCTCAGCGCACCATTAGCTGGTGCCAAATACACCACGGTTCTGCTAGGACAGAGCCGTGCCTTCGGTCACCCCAGCCCACAGCTCCCGCACCCATGCGACACAGCCCCTGTCCTCCAGGCCACCCATCTGTTCTCACCTCCTGCAAGGCTGGCACCAGGTCAATGCCCTGGGTGAAGGTCCTCATAAGGGAGGCTGGGATTGGGGAGCTGGGAGCCAGCTGGGAGCCAGCCCCCTGGCCACCCCAGTTTCTCCCCGGCCCTGAGAGGTGGCCACCTTTGCTGTCTTGGAGGCCCATGTGGGGTGGCTCACTGGGGCTCGAGCCTGGAGCCAGGTCCCAGCAGCGGCAGCACAGCAGATGTGAGTTACATAAACACTGTGCTCCCTGCCTGGTCCAGGCCTGGTGGCCCAGACACTGCGGTGGGGGCAGGCTGGGGTGGGGCCGCCCACCCTGTTTCTGTTCCTGCTGAGCTGTTTAACTTGCTGAGGCTTATCCCTTTGTTTATAAACGAAGGGTTAACAGGCTCCCATCCCCGCCCTGGGCCAGGCTGATCCTCCAAATAAGGACATTTCTGTCTTTTTCAGGAGAAAGGAGAAGGCTTTGGGGAGAAGCAGGGAGGAGGTGAGGGCACATGGGACACCCCAGGCATAGTGTGCCCTCCCCCACCCGCGAGGGGAGGGAAGACCCCTCCCCCTTCCTGGCGACCAAGGGAAGCGAGGCGTCTGCTGTGAACGGGCCTCACGCTGCCCACTCCCCCTGGACGGCTACTGCACACCCTTGAGCAACAGGCTCCTTCTGGCAGTTTCCACCCAGCGGAAGTCGTGCCCGCTGGGGGACTGGGGACCGAATGCCAGCCTGGAAGGGGTGGGCACAGCAGGGGACCTCTTGCTAGCTGAGGCTCAGGTCCCAACCTGGCCGGGAGGGAGCCCCTGGCAGGGCAGGCGGCCGCCCCCATCCTCCAGCTCAGAGAGGGCGGCATCGGCTGAGCCTCTGTCTCCGGGACGCCGGCCCTGAGCGTCTGCTAACTCTCAAGGCTGCCGGGAGGAGTCGGATGCTGCCCAAGACTGTGTCCGGCCCCTCTGGCCACCTCCAGCGCAAGTGGGCCCGGGCCCCAGCTCACGGGGTCCTCTGGGAGGGCTGTCCTCTGCCCGGTGTCCCCAGCCCCTAACACACAGGGTCTTTGGATGTGTTTGTCCAACGGCAGCTCAGGGAGACAGCGTGCGAGAGTGATGTCCGGGGCAGGGAGAGACCTGTGGGCGTGAGGGGCTGGGGAGCAGCGAGGGGAGGTGATGAGGCTAGGCTGTGGGGCTGGCATCCTGGTGCCTCAGGGCTGTGGGCTTCGTCCTCAGGCAGCGTGGACCCCTGCAGTCCCCCAGGAAGGAGAGGGATGCCTCCCAACGCGTCCCTGCTCTACTGTGGAAAACACGACGCTTCCGCAAACCCCCAGGAGGAAGGGCCCAGGGAGACAGGAGCTGGCCCCAGACACACGCAAACAGGGTTCTGAATTTCCTTTCGCGCGCCTTTCGGTTTTCCAATGTGTCTGCATGAGGTCTGCATCCATGTGACAGTCAGAGACAAATAATAAACACCACAGAAGGTTTCCTCTGGCACTGAGTCCCATCCCAGGGACAGCCTCACACGCTGGCCAGCGCCTCACTGAAGGTGCCGGTGGTGTGGGCCAGGGCTGCACGCCTGGAGCTCCAGAGCAGGGGTAAGCGCGGGACACCCCAGAGGCCGGGCAGGTGAGGACGGAGGACGTCAGCCAAGCGCACCATGATTCTCAGCTCCGAGAGTCTGAGCCTGATCTGGTCCCCGCCCTGGGCGCCGCCGCTCACACACTGAGGTCAGTCCCGGAACACGGCGAACCTTGGCATCTGTCACGCCGGCCGAGCTCAGATCGCGGCCACAGCCCGGGCCCTGCCATCCCCCCGCTTTCTACAGCACCATCTCTTCCCCTTTGCTCTCTGCTGAGTCTGGCTGTCTCTGTCTGTATGATAAGACCCCCGCCACCCCACCCTGCTTACACCGGCCCCAGCACAGCCCTCACCTCTCACGGTGATAACACACTGACCTGATTAGTCACTGGCCGCTCTCTGGGGGCATCTACTCACGATCCCTTTTGTTTCGCAAGATGAGGAGCTCAAACCGTGAGACCCTGGGCCCTGTGGAGGTGGGTTTGCTGATGGCCTCAGGGATCCACAGTCCAGGGCGCTCGGCTCTCTGGGGCCGGGGAGGCACCGGGCTGGGAGTGTCTGGGCTGAGCTGCCTCCACCCCACATGGCCTCAGGGCAGACACTCCTTCACTGGGCCTCGGTTTCCCCCGTGGTCTCCACCGCCTCAGCTCTTGGTCCTCCTTGAGGCTCCACAGGATGGACCGCTCCACCCCCTGAATCTGCTTTGGTCAAGCGCGAGGGCTGCCGTGGGCCCCCCCGAGCCCTGAGCAGAGCGCCCCCCTTCCATGCTCTCAGCACTAGTCCTGCCCTCCGTGGTCCCGCCGGTCCTCTGGTCTGGGGCTGACTCGCCCTCGCGTCCACCATGTCCGCTTCTCCCTCTGTCCACACCCAGGACCCCATACCCCCATCTGCCGGCCCGGGCTGGGCCTGTCCACACTCCCGTGGGAAGATGGGGCTCAGTGTGGTGTGGGATGTCACAGCTGGTGATGGCTGGGGGTGGTGGGCATTGCGGGGAGCACTTGACCAGTAAGAGTAACCAGTGGAGGTGCGCGCTGGGGGCTGGCCCCCGCTCATGAGGGGTCACCCCGGGTGTTGACTAACCTCTCTGAGCCTCAGCCTCCCTGCCCGCAAAGTGACGTAACAACAGCACCTTCCTTCTGCAGTTTCTGAGCGGGTTCATGGCATCGGTTCCCTTGCAGATCCAGGCACTGGTGATGGTAACTCCTTACCCACCTGGCTCCTGGCCTCCTCCACTCACTCAGAGGAAACTGAGGCTCTGGAAGGGACAGGCCAGGGCTCGAACCTGGGTCTGCCTAGTGCGAGCCCACAGCTGGGTCCTTGGGCCTGAGGGAGGGCGGGCACCCAGGCAACGGTCCCCTCCTCTAGCAGGTGCACGGTGGGCACCCACTCCCCACCTGCCTTCCACCCTGCTCCACTCTAAATGTAGCCTGGAATGAGGGGAAAGGAGAGAAGCCTCTGCTCTTCTGTGGGGATAGCCTGACGCTGGCCCTCACACCCGGGCTGAGTGGGGAGGCACAGACCTGGCCCTTGGATGGGCCCCAGGTGATGAGCAAGCAGAAGCGTCCCAGACACCTGGGCTCGGGCCCAGCCCTGCCACTCCCTCGACCCTGGACCTCGGCCAGTCAGGGAGCCTTCTTCTCCTCATCTGCTAAATGGGGTCACTAGTGCTTTCCACAGCCTGAGGAAGCCAGTCTGAGGGTGGCGGCATGGCCCTGTCCCCGCCCCGTTCCTGGCAGGTGCCCTAGTCCTGGCTGAGGTGCAGCGAAGCCTGCAGCTGGGGTCAGCTGGCTGGATCCCAGTGGGCAGGGGCCACGCCCTCATAGTGCCTAGCACCGTGCCGGGCTCAAGGTCTGGAAACTGCCTCAGAGCAACTGACCCAGGCTGGGAGCCTTCACACATCTACCAGCCACTACCCTGGCCTGCTCCGCCCACCCATGCTCAGGCCCTTCCCTGGGCAGAGCGGAGGGCACGCGGACCTGCTCTCCGGGGGCTCAGGGTCAGAGGAAGAGACGCACAGTGGGTTGGGGGGACTGGAGCACAGCCACTAAGAGTCTCGACTCTGGCCTGGACGCCCCACCCAAAGCCTGGCTCCATCTCAGAACCGGCTTGTGACCTTAAAGTCTCTGAGCCTCAGTCTCCTCATCTGTAAAGTGGGCAGAATTGGATCCATCTCTGAGGCTGTACCGACACATTGTCAACACGTGGCCCTGGAAGGGTCCTGAGAGGATTTCAGCTGGTGAGGGGATGGGAGATGGGCCGAGTATAAACAAAGGTGAGGGTTAGGGAAGGGAGGTGCCCTGTGGAGAACAGCAGCAGGAGGACGGCAGGGCGGGCGGGCAGGCCTTGCAGAGTGGATTCTGCACAGCCCCAGGCCCCAAGGGTGAGTGCTGGTCCTGGGTGGACTGAACAGCTGGAGTGCAGCTGTGCGGGTGGAGCCCAGGGCTTCAGGTCCCTGGGGACCTCCCTCCTCCTGCACCTCTCTTCCTTCCTTTTTCCCCTCCCGCCCATCTCAGAGGAAACTAGGGTCTTGGGAGGAAGGGTCAGGAATTCCTCCACTGCCCAGGCTGCCCAGGTCTCAGTCTCCCCATCTACGCAATGGGCAGGTGGCTCTGAGGGTACTTCCAGCTCGGAAGCACTTCAAGGCTTGAACATGTCTGCACCTTTGGGAACGTCTTGGCTGCAAGACTGCTCTGGAAGGCTCTTTCAGGGAGCAGGGCAGAGGGATGGTCGTGGAATCCCGGCGGCTTGGGGACTGGGGCGAGATGTGGGCCCAGTGCTTCCCAGGTTAGGAGGAGCCCTTGGGACCCGTGGGCAGGAAGTCTCAGCCTCCCTCCGCCATGTGTGGGATTAAGTCCTTCAGTGGCTTGGCGCTGCTCAGCTCCTAGCCTCAGACATGGGCTCCTGTAACACGGAACCCCAGGCTACAGTGCTTGGTCACTCATGACCCCAGCCAGTCATGAGGTGGCCTCATGACCCCAGCCCAGCCAGTCACTACCGGCCCTGGGACTTTTGC